ACCGGGACCGGGGGCCCGGGGCCGGGACCTCGACCGCAAATGTGGGCTCCGGGGGGCCCGGAGGCTCGTCGGGGCTTGCCGGAGACCTCCCCGGTCAGACAAGAGGGCCCCAGAAGCGCCCAAGACGGCCCAAGAAACTTCCAAGAGGCCTCCAAGAGGGCTCCGAGATGCTGAAGATGGCCTCCAGACGTCCAAGGACGCCCCCAAGAGGCCCCAAGAAGCCTCCAACATGCGTCCCAAGAGGGCCCCTAGACGCAAAAATTGCCCATTCCCTTCGTAAAACGTACATTTTCAACAAAGTTGCCTTTTGGGCTTTCCGACGTTACAGGACGGCCCAAGAGGCGCCCAAGACCGCCCCAAGACGGCCCAAGAAGCTTCCAAGAGGGCCCCAGGACAGCCCAAGAGGGCCCCAAGACGGCCCAAGAGGCGCCCAAGATGGCCCAAGAGGGCCCCAAGACGGGCCCAAGAGGGGGCCCAGAGGGGGACCACGAACCGCAAGCTCGAGCCTTCCGCCCCAAGAGGCCGCCAGGAGGCCCCAAGGAGGCCCCTCAAGAGGCCCCAGGAGACCCCCAAGAGGCCCAAAGGAGGCCCCGAGAAGCCCCAAATCGGCCCCCCAAATGCTTCGAACCTGCTTCCAGGAGGCCCCCGACAGGTTCAGAGGCTCCCAAGAAACTACGTCAAACTCCCAGCGAGCGGCCGGACGAGGCCCCCCAAAAAATCCCAAGAGGGTTCCAGTATTTGTATCCTTCAGCGCTCTCTGGCCTTTTTTCCCCTGCCCCCTTCCCTGCGATTTTCGTTGACTCAAGCTCGCCTCCTCTCCATTTCCTCTCTCTGCCTCTCTATCTCTCTCTTTCTCTCTCTCTCTCTCTGTATTCTTCTCTCTCTCTCTCTCTCTCTCTCTCTTTCTCCATCTCTTTTTTTTATGTTTCTTTTTTTTTGTTGTTGTTTCTCTTTCTCTTTCTCTCTTTTTCTCTCTCTCTCTCTCTCTCTCCTTCGCTCTCTGTCTGTCTGTCTCTCTCTCTCTCTCTCTCTCCCTCTCTTTCTCTCTCTCTTTCTCTTTCTTCCTTTCATATCCCGTGTCCTTGCGACCTTCTGCAGTCCCCGACGTCGCCACATCTGGATTCGCTCGAGCGTGTCTTGTGATGTGCGGCGGTGCGAAGCCCGTCCCACTGATCAAGGCACAGGTACGAAATGATGGGTCCATCATTTCTTGCCTTCCCATGTGCGTTTTCCCAATCGATTCCTGGGCCCGAGGTCGCAAGAATTACGACGTCGGAGGTCTGGGGAGGCGGGAAGCACGACCTGGACCTCCGACGTCTTGGAAAAATCACGACGGCGGTTTCGGTCAATTTTCGGCCTCCGGGGCCCCTCGCAGGGTCCCGGGACCGTCAGAAAACGACTCAGGATGAAAAAAAAACACATCCCCAGGAAGTCGTCGAGAGGTCCAGGGGCCGCGCACAGAAAGCATCACGACATCGGACGTCCAGAGAGGAGGTAGGAACACGAGGAGGAGGGAGCCCAGACCTCCTGGCGACGCAACACCAAATACAACAAAAGCTTCCCCGCGACTTCCCCCAGAGACTCTAACTACAGAAACTCCTTTCGCATTCCGGCCAAAAGCATCCAGAAACGATGTACATTAGCCCTGGCGGGGGGAGTGATGGCGATGGTGATGTTCATGATGACGACGGTGACGATCCTAGCTAGGACCTAAGCGCGCGAAGCGCGCGCGTGGTTCTAGTATATATATATATATATATATACGTTTGTATGGATATGTACATGTATACGCAAGTGGTCAGTGTAACTATGCGTGCGCAGACACATGCGTATATCAATCGGTAGTGGCCTGACCAGTTGCTCATATCATCGCGCCACTAAAAGGCGCGAGGGTCTCAGGCAAACGCGGTCAGACTACCATGGGACAGTGCGTCGCCGAGGTCAGTGTTGCGAGGACGCCCCGGGTGAAAATGGCCTGGACACCTCCGCTCAGGGGGGGGCATATCCGAAGTCAGCCGCGCGAGGAAGTTTCAAGCGAGGAGTGGTCTGAACACCTCTGCTCAGGGCATCCTTGAACTTAGAGTTGCGAGAAGTCGCGCGCGAAAGTGACCGAACCACCATAGTGCAAGGCACCTCCGAAGTGAGACTTGCGAGAGTGTCTCAGGCGACAGTGGCTGGAACACCTCAACTGAGAGTGTCTCGGGCCCCAGAGCTGCGATGATGTCTCAAGCGAAAACGGCGGGACCGATGCGAAGCAAGGCGCTTCTGAGGTCGGAGTTGCGAGCATATCTCTGGCGAAGCGGATCAGGCTACTTTCCGTTATCTCCTCTTCCTCCTTCCCCTTTTCCTTTCCTTTCCTCCTCCTCCACAATTACTCAATATGAATATACTCCCCCTCTTCCCCTGATGGCGTCCGGGTGATGGCCGCGCACCCTCCGCGTATTGTTTTTCTACACACAGGATGCTTGGGAAATCCCGGGAAACGACTCTCGCTGAGGCGCCGGCGTCATTTTTTCCCAGAATACTGCTCTCGCGCCGGAGTCATTTTTTCCCAATATATATGCTGCTCTCGTTGAGGCGCCGGCCTCAATTCCGCTCCCGAATCCTTCCCCTGATGGCGTCCGAGTGATGGCCGCGCACCCTCCGCATACTGCTTTTTACACACAGGATGCCCGGGAAACCCCGGGAAACGACTCTCGCTGAGGCGCCGGCGTCATTTTTTCCCAAAATGCTGCTCTCGTTGAGGCGCCGGCCTCATTTCTGCTCCCGAATCGTTCCGAATTGTGCTCCCGCTGCAGCGTGGGCCTCATTTTCGGATTGGTGCCTGGCCTCCGTCGTTTTAAGATGGCGATCTCGCCCCAGCGCGGGTTTTTTTCTCGCGCGCCCATCCGCCCGCCACCACCGCGCCGCACCGCCACCACCACCACCACCACCACCAACACCAACACCACCACCACCACCACCACAACCACCACCAGCACCATCACCAGTACCAACACCACCACCACCAGCACCACCACCACCAGCACCACCACCACCACCACCATCACCACCACCACCACCACCACCACCACCACCAGCACCAGCACCAGTACCAACACCACCACCAGCACCACCACCACCACCACCAGCACCACCACCACCACCATCACCACCACCACCACCACCACCACCACCACCACCACCACCCACCACCACCACGACAACCACGCACACACGCACGCACGCACGCACGTGCACCACCACCCACTACGCACGCGCGCGCGGAACCACAGGTCCGCTACGACACGCGTCCGCGGATAGAGAAAATCAGCGCCATGGTAAGGGATGGGAGGGAGGGGTAGGACGTCATATATGACGCGAGCGCACCTAGCTTGTCCTCCTCCCCCTCCTCCTCCTCCTGTTCCTCCTCCTCTTCCTCTCCCCCCTCTCCGCTTCTTTTTTCGTCCATTATCCCCATCCCTGGCGGCGCGGCGCGGCGCCGCTCGGCCTCGCTGCGAGTCAAGCGGCAAAGGGTGAGAGAACCCCCCCGAATTAGGAACGGTTTTTCCCAAACCGCCAAGGGGGCCCGAAGGTAGTGCAAGAGGCGGCGCAGGTTTTGAAATCCCCCAGGGGCTCCTCGGATTCGGCCGGCCTTCTCCGGTAAGGTAGGCAAGGGCACCGCGTCCAGGTGCTCAATCCCCCGTATTCCCCTCCCCTCGTCTTCGCCCCCTTCTCCATGTCCCCCTCCTCCTCGTCCTCGCCCCCCTTTTCCCCCTCATCCTCCTCCCTCCCCCCTCCTTTTCCCCCATTGATGCCCCCGCGTGGTTTTCGGGCCATGACTCGGGCCTCTGGGGGCCGTTCGCGACGTTGCCGGCGCCCCCAAAACGCTTCCGGCGAGTCGCAGATACTGAAGGAAATCCCCAGGCCGGAAAACCCCCCCGAACAAACAATCCGAAAACCTTGATCCTCCATTCTCGGTTCCGCTCTCTCAGAGGAGGAGGGAGGGGGGGTGAAGGACGAGGGGAGAGACAATGAAGATTAGTACGGCGACGACGACGACGACGACGACGACGACGGAGGAGGAGGGAGTAGAGGAGGAAGAGAATGAGGAAGAGGAGGGGGAGCTCTTGGGTCCTTCGGTGGTTTGAACGAAAAATGGCCTCGCTGCGCCACTTGATGCGACAACGACGACGACGAAGAAGGCGACGACAAAGAGAAGGGATAATGAGAGGGGGGACCGTTGTGTTGGGATCTCGTGGTGCGCCTCTCGGGGCCCTCTGGGAGGCAGTTTTGAAGCCTCTTGGGGGTGTTTTGGGGTTATTGGGATCTTTTTGGGGCCTCTTGGGGGTTCCTTGGGGCCTCTAGGGAGCCTCTTGGGGCCTCATGGGGCTCTCGCCGGGCCTCTTGGGCCCTGTCGCGGCGGAAAATTTAGTTTTTGAATTTTTGGGCGCCCTCTTGGGTCTCTCTTGGGGCCGTCTTGGTGCTCTCTTGGGCCGTCTTGGGCCCCTCTTGGGCGGTTTCGGAGCCCTCCTGGACCGTGTTGGGGCCTTTTTGGGGGCCTCTTGGGCAGTATTGGGGCGATCTAGGGAGCCTCTTGGGCCATTGTGGAGCGTCGGGAAGCGGGATAAACGAGAAGGCCAAAAACATAGAAAAACACACAGGACAATCAACAATTGTAGCCTCTCGGGGCTCTCTTGGGAGGCCTCTTGGGGGTCTCTGGGGGCGTCTTGGACGCGTCTTGGGCAGTCTTGGGCCCAGATTGGGCGTCTTGGGCCGATCTTTGGGTGTCTCGGGGCCCTCTTTGGCCGTCGTGAGTTTTTTTTTCGCGTCGCACTCGCAAGACAGACACGGAGCACTCTGCAGGAGCGCCCCCAAGTCTCGGGGAGGCCGAAATTCGTTTTGGGGGGGGGGGCACCGTGTGCCGTTTTTCCGGGGTCCCCGGCCCTGTAAAAAATATAAATAGGAATGTGTATATATATATATATATATATATATATATATGTAGAAATATTATCTTCGTTTTTATGTTTTATTTTTTTCTCTCTCTCTCTCTCTCTCCCTGTCTTTCGAGCGCAGCCATCTTGAAACTTGCGTCCGCCGTCGGCGCTGGCGCTTCGATGCCGCTGCCCCAGGCCCAGGCAGTCGGGCCGAGGCAGTCGGGCCGCTCGCCGGGCAGCGCGCCGGGCGCGCACCGTCTCACCGCCTGTCCGCACGGGCAGCAGGCCGTGCGCAGCCGCCGCCCCGAGGGGGACCGGGCGGGCTGCGCCCGACCTCCTGTTGGGGAGCCCTGGGTCGTCCGAGCCTGCAGAGGAGGAGGAGGAGGAGGAGGAGGAGGAGGAGGAGGCGGAGGAGGCGGAGGAGGAGGCGGCGGCGGAGGAGGAGGAGGAGGAGGAGGAGGAGGAGGAGGAGGCGGAGGAGGAGGAGGCGGAGGAGGCATGGCTGGCCGAGTGCCGCCCGCGGAGGCACGAAGCGACACGGAGCGCTCCGCGACTCGTGCGGGCAGAAGGGAAAAGTACGTGCGGCAGGGGAGCCGTGCAGCATCCAGAAGAAGCCAAGCTTGCGACTGAGCTCGGGGGCCCCCAAACACTCAGGCCGTGTGGTGGGTCGGGGTCACCGCACGGTTTTGGGACCTGGGGTGATTTTGTTGAGGATGTTCTGGGCGACTGGGACCTCCAAAGTCCCAAGCTGTGCGGTGACCGACCGTGCGGCGAGGCCTTCGAGGAATCCGAGGTCACCGTCGCCGCGCGGTCCATCGCCGCACGGCCTCGGGGCCCCGAAGAAGCGCCTGGACTTGCCCACGATAGGAGCACACGGACGATGCAGCCCCGCCGCCGCCAGCGACTTCTCGCCACTCGGCGGCGCGCTCGGGGGGAAGTGAGCGGGAGCAGGCGCTGTCACAGCCGCCCCTCCTCGTCCTCCCCCTCCCCCTCCCCCTCCCCCTCCTCCTCCCTCCTCCTCCTCCTCCCTCCTCCTCCTCCTCCTCCTCCTCCTCCTCCTCCTCCTCCTCCTCCTCCTCCTCCTCCTGCGCCGGGGCTCACGCGTGCTCTTCGCCTCTCTGGAGCCACTCGGCCCTCTGAGAAGCTTCCTGCGTCTTCGGAGAAGGCGTCGTAGACTTCTCAGAGGGCGCGAGGGTCGGTATCGTTTACCATCCCCATCCCCATCCCCTTCGAGACCCCCACCAAATTGCCACCCAAGTTGGGGATACACCCCTCGAAACCCGAAGAGAACGACCTAAATCCCCATCTAGGGGGGTAAATCGACCAGTGGGGCTCAGGCCACGCCGCTGGGGATGGGGATCGGTTAAACGATACTCAGAAGGCTTCTGAGAAGTCCCGCGGCCGCCCGAGAAGGCCTGTCCCCTCTCGCTCCCCAGACCCCAGACGGCGCTCGTCTTTCACGACGTGGAGCCGCAGAGACCTGCACCCATTCCTGGGCACCGGCTTCACCCCCCGAGTCGCTTTCGGACCGCCCCGGGGCCCCTGCGAGGGCCCCTGGACTCCGAAAGTAGCGAGAACCCCCCCCGCCGTGGACTGTTCGTGACCCGACCCAGACCTGCGACGCCCTGATTTTTTCAGGACGGCATCCCCGGAAGTCCGGGCCCTTTTCCCCGGGGCCTGCCTTTCAACCCGAGTCGTTTCTTGACGGTCCCGAGGCCCGGTGAGGGCCCCCAGAGGCCGAAAATAGCGAAACAATTGCCGTCCTCTTTTTTTTTTTTTACGACGCGATCATGTCTGGGGAGGGGTCCCCCATCCGGGCTCGCCGCCGAGCCACCGCCGAGCGGCAGATGCCGGCCGCTGCCCGGCGAGGAGGCCGTGTGGCAGCACCTCCCCCTCGGGCGCGCGGGCGCTAACGCGCGCCTCCCGCGGGGGGGAGAATGCAGTAGCAAATCACAGCCGCCCCTCCTCCTCCTCCCCCTCCCCCTCCCCCTCCCCCGTCTCCTCCCTCCTCCTCCTCCTCCCTCCTCCTCAACAGACTCAACAGACTGACGAGCGTCCTGACACTCCAAGAGCACCGAACGCTGACTACATAGAGGAAACTCCCTCGTCCTGGGTCGAAGTCCAAGGGGTGGAAGCAGGGAACGGGAAAGGGGGAAAAGACGAAAGGGGAAAGGATTTGCCCAGACGCAGGGACGTGCCAGGAACGATCCCTCTGAGAAGCTTAGAACGCTCAGAGGACCGCCTGGGGTTCGTGCATGGCTTCAGTAGCTTATCAGCTTTGACCGATGCTGAGCCACCACACAAAACACAAAAGATGATCGGGGCATCTGACTCCTCACAACGGGCCCAATGCAACTTATGCCCAGTGCCCGCACCACCCTCCAGCAAGGAGCGGATCGTGGGGTTGGGAGCAACGCACGGAGAGGAAGTCTGACCCGACACTACCCTCAAACACCTAAGGCATCTCATACATTTGCCATGTGCTGAGGGAATGTGCGCAACCCCTTGTCTGACCACTTTGGGCCCCGGGGTCCTGGAAATCTTCCCAAACTGCTGGCTGCAGCTGGGCCACGCCTTGAGAACATGGATTACGCCTGCAACAAGGCTTTGATATTCAAGCTCTCCTTGCTTGAGAGCCTCTAGATCACTTGGTGGAATATTATGCACCTGGGCACCACGCTTAGCAAATAAATCAGCCATGGTCGACCCCGCTATGTTCAGATAGTCTTCAGCATCAGTGGCTTCACTGAATGAACGGTGAGCTTTCACCTTGGAAAGCGTCGGCCAAGGATTATTCTGGAGACACTTGCCAATCTCCCGCCAAAAGAAACTGTATTGCGTCCTGCCCGACAACACCCTCGAGGCGTTCCGAACTCCCGCAAAGAGGCCAGAATAGTCAACTCTTATACTGCTGGCGGCACAATCTGTACTGTTCACATTCCTACGCAAAATAGCGACCGCCAAACCAGCATGCTCTGCAGCACCACTCGACTGTTGGTGCATGGAAGGGAGGGGACCATATACCCCTCTGACCAAACTGCCGTCATCTGACATCGACGCAATCCCCAAACCCGCTCTTGCTGCCTCAGGGATCTCGCCTTGGTAGCAGGAGCCGTCTGAGAAAAGCGTCTCATCAGGTTCAAAGAAAAAGGGTTCGACTTCCTCTCCTTGCGGCCCTACAGAAGTGAGATTCCAATCAGAAGCAGGGGCATCTACCTCTGGCATGACAGGCCACAGGCGAGAAAGTAACGCACTATTAGGTCCAGCAGCTCGGACCTGGGCCAAAAAAACTAAACCAAAGTGCTCCTGCCTCCTCTCCTCGGCCTCAGGGCAGGGGCACTGCCACATCCTATGCCACGAGGTGTCTTCCGCCGTCTGGCATAGAGGACAGACCTCCTCAACTTGATATCCCCACTGGATCAAGGCAGTCCCAGTGGGAAGAGCTCCAGATAAAATTTGGCGGTAGAGGTGGTTCCCTTCACCATCTAGCTTCTTGGCCGCGCGAACAACTACAAGGGGGCCAAAAGCCCTCCCCTACAATTGGACAGTCAAATCCTACCTCACGAGCTACTTTCTTCAGGTACCTATTCAGGAAATGCCTACTGAGGTCTCTCGTGAAACCTTCAGCAACAGCTTGGGGCGGGCTCTCAGTCAGAACATAGCGTTGACCACTAGCACTCACAAGGGCAGCGGGGCTCTCCCAAGACCAACCCGCTTCCTGGAGCCACAGTAACATAGCCGATATGGGTCCTTTGGTGCGGACCAACCAAGACTTGCCCTGAGACTTCCGAAACTCCTTCTCAACCACATGGAAAGTCTTGCTAAGTTCTCCAGTGCTAATCGCATCCGCATGGCGACGAGGTCCATACGAGGATTGTTCTGACATGTGCCACCACTCCCATGCATGCCTTTTTAACGCTCCAGCGGCCAGGTGAATGGGGTCGCCCTTGGGGGAGACGGCCCACACGAGGTCAAGGTTGCACCCCCGCTTGCTGACACCTCCAGCTCTGGCAGCAGCCCGTCTGATTCGCAGCAGCTCATGTGGTGTAATTCCTTGCACCTCCATGCCGAAAGAGATCGTAGGGATAACCCCTGTCTTAAACAACCTCGCTTTCTTACCCTGTGAGACCTTCAACCCGCGGAGTTTGGAGATCCTGAAATTGAACGTTCTAAACCGCTTCTTCCGGACAGCACGAGCAAATCCACACCCTTGATGTTTACCAGCAGTAACAGCCAAACCCAAATTAGTAGCGGCCCACTCTCCTCGACCCGCAAGGGGCCCTAACTTGGCCAGGATAGCTTTAAGTAACGCATTTGAGTTAGCAGCAGAAACCATCTTCTTCTCGGCCAAGGGGGCCTCCAAATGTTGGGCAATGACGACAGCTAAACTGGTTGCCAGATCCTGTAGCTTCTCAACAGCCGTCTCGAGTTGGGCCCCCCACGAATGAATGGACAGATCATCAACATGCAGACCCTGACTCCCCCCCCCCCCCCCCCCCTGCCCACGATGACTCAAAATGGTGGGGAGTAGAAACGATTTAGCTTCATACGTAGCCGAGGCACTGCCAGCTACGATGCCCCTTTGCGGCCAGACTGGGGCAGCAAAAGCCCCGTCCAAAAGCAGAGTCCGCGGCCAACGATACGTGGACAGCGTGTAGAGAAGGATGTGGAGAGGAAACTGAGAAATAACACTCTGCTGTAATAACTTCTGATGCGTGATATGCTCATAGAATTGCATGATATCCCACAAGACGGTTCCATAATGCATCCTATGCCCTGTGATCCTCTCAGCATGCACGTTCTGCCTCCACACCATGTCTAAAGCGCCCCTGCCTTTGCCAATTGAAAACTCAGGACCTAGCCCAACAGCCTCTTCCCACTGTCGGCAGGGGTCTCGATGTGTCTTCCCGTGCAGTCTGGCAAAACCATTGTAGTGGCCAATGGGGCGCCTGCCTTTGTCTGGTCTCCCCATGAGAAAGATGACAAGATGTTGCATCTGCTGCGGTGCTTCCCCCAGGATGTCAACAAGATGGAAGAGATCAGCAAGCACAGAAAGCCCATCTACGCTGAGAAGGCTGAAATGACGAGGATGAAATCCATCAGGTTTGCATGTGAAAGCCTTGAATCTGGAGCTAATGTGTCGCAACTCATCTACGTCTCTCGGCTTTGGAACAGGAATGGCCATGGACGGAAGCACAGAGGGTTCTGCCTCAACCTTGACATCACTCCCCTGCCACCTTTCCTTCCACATCTCTCTCTCATGCGCAAGTCGAGCGGGCAACGAACTCGTGAACGAGTCGCCGCATGCAACGACCTCCTCGTTGGCGGGTTCTCCCGTCCTCAAGTACGCGTACGCCATTTTCATGCTGGACTCAGCCGCTTCGGTGCACCACTGGTTCCATGAGTTCCTGGCCCTGGACCTATCCTCCAAAGATCCCAGATTAGCCCAAACCGCAACAAACTCATGAGTCTTGTCCAGAATCCCCACGGCGTCTTCTCCCAACGTGGTGCTTCGAAGCGTCCTAGAAATAGAGGAACAGAACTGGTGCCAGAAATCACCTCACCTCCTGCCCGCCAATGTCGACGGAAAGGGCCACCACGTTCAGGTAGATCATCCCACTGTCCGAGAAGATCCCAGAAATACTTCCCAAGAGCCTTTTTTTCTGAAGAGTGTCCTAAGCTCCTTGACGCGGTTCAGAACCCATAGAATGGGGCGCCCTGGGTACGCGTTCTTATAATGCTTAGTGGCAAGCAACTTGGAGAGCTGAACCTCTGAGAACTCCATGGGGGCCCCACCAGCAAGCCCCGAGACTCCATGACATTGGCCAGCACCTAATATTTCTTTCCAAGCTCTAGGAGCCCATTGCGAGTGCACTTCATTGAGGATCTCAAGGCCTGTGCCCCTACGAGTCCCAAAGACCATGTGGGCAACTCCATCGGGGTCCCGACACCCCTCGATGAACTCTTCAAGTTTCCCAGCCAGGTCCTCATAAGATGGTGGCTCCTCTTTGGGCCCGATGGCTGGCTGGTGGGGCACCTCTTGGTAGGTCTTGGGGATCCTGACCTTGATCTCCTGAATCATCTTTTTCGCGTGGATCAAAACGGGCCTGTGCGGGCTGAACGGAGCCTGCAGGTCGACGTGGATCGTCGGGACTGCGTAGTCGACCACCCTGCTTATGATGAAGTAGTCGAGCACCGACGAGCCCGCTCCGACGCATGTGGGCACACTTGTGGCCCTGATGACACAACCAAGCTGCTTGGGAACATGGTTGTAAAGAGTATGTGGCTCCATGTTGAAGTCGCCCCCAATGATGAAGGGTAAATTGTGCTTGAAACAGTCATTCCATATCGCAGTAAGGACTTCTTTGTTGACCACGGATAGCCCTTCCGAATCTTTGAGATACACTGAGTAGATGACCAGCACCCCAAGCCTGGCACTTCTGAAGAAACATCTGGACACTCCCAGGATAGATGACGGCCGATACACCAGGCGGGTTCCACGTGTCGGGGTGGTTCTTGACGACCACGACGGTTCCACCCGACACAAAACCTGACTCCAGCTGAACTCCTGGACATCCATACACTTTCCATCCACTTCGTTGCAGTCTAGAGACCTGAAACTCAAACAGCCTTCCTTGTAGACGGTGTTCCTGCAACAAATTGATGTCCCCAATCGTTGTCTGCATAAAGTCACGAAAACTCGCTTTATCCTTGCCCGAGATGCCCTCCAGTTCTGCCTCAGTATCTGATCCAACTGGAACCATTGAACGTGACAATGAACATCCTGCGAGCATTCTCCTCAGTCATTGATCCATGCCCGAGTACCCTACCTTCATGTGGAAATTGTCCTTCATGAGGGGCGCTGCACCGATCCTCCAGCGATTCTACCGAGGCCGAGGCTTCCCAGTGTGCTTCCACCCCGAGTGAGCGTGCCTCCATCGGCGCTCTGCTCGACATGGTGACCTTTGGGTGCTGCGAGGCCTGGGCAGCCTCCACTATCTCAGGATCGGAGAGTGCGGCCCCAGGTCGCGAAATACACCTCGACCTGGCAATCGATCGAGACGGGATACCTGAATGAGCACTACCTTTGCCCACTCTGCTCGACATGGTGACCCCTGGAGGCTCCGATGCAACGGCAGTCTCCACTATATCTGGCTCGGAGAGTGCGGCCCCGATTGTAGCCGAGGTCTCGTCGTCGGTCGTAGTATCTCCAAGCCTAGTAGTACTCTGTTGAGTCTCACGCATTTTCCCAGCTCTGCTGCTGGTCGGTCTCATACTCACGTGCCCTGCTCGGGCGCCCTCTGGGAACTGAACGAACTCTTGGCGGCGTCCTGGAGTGGCGCGCTGGCGGTCCTGCTCGTTCGCGTTCTCGAGCTTTTCGAAACGCATGCTCACGAAACTTCCCCACCAGCTTCGACCGAGCTTCATCGGACACCCCTGCCGCAGCACACACCTCATCCAAATCGTCGTCCTCGAACTCCATGAGCCCAGGTACGGCTTGGTGGACTGCATGTGCATCCTCCCCTCGGTGTGCTTCCCCGCTTGCGCAAGAGCCAGATGGGCCTGCACGGGTTGGAAGCGCACCTTCGATAGAGTCCACCAGGCCTGCATACTGAGATGCCAATTGGTTTCTGACTTCCTCCTGGCCCAGGGACGCAATGATCTTTTGGAATTTCTCGAGCTGCTGTAAAACACACTCCATTGTTGGCAGACTCTGGCCCAAACGCATAGACGCTTGACGGCGTGCCTCCTCAACAGCTTTCTTTTCTTGAGCAATTGAGTCCACCAAAGCTTCACGTTGGTCTTTGAGTTCCAAAATGTACTCATCCAGCTCCGTGAGATCCTTTTCCAAGCGCTCCACCTTCTTCGACCGACGGGCCTCCTCCTGTTCAGCACGGTATAGGACCTGACTCGGGGGGGTCGAAGAGCGCTTGACCTCCTGAGTTGCCTCCCAGGCGGCGTTGATCCCCTCCTTGGCGGCAGGGGGCAATGAATCTTTGAAGCGTCCGTTTGGGCCAATAAGCTGCATGAGACGGTGAAGTTCATCGACAGCCCCCGCAGGTTTTGACCCCTGGTTGGCAGCTCCTGAATCACCTCCTCCCTGTCGGCGTCTGCTGGCTGGCTTGTCCCAGGCCCCATTGGAGCCGGATTTCTGCCACGGCGCACGGGACTCCATGACTTTCGGGAGAGGAGACTTGCAATGATAACAGAAACGAAAGTGATGAGGGTTCTTCCTGCAGCCGCATGTGGAGCAGATGATCTGCCCGCTCGCAACCCCATCACGACCATAGACCCCACGGCGCATCCCGCACCGATCTGGGGGCGAGAAAAGCTTGGGCACAAGGGGTGCCCCTCCCGCGAAAAGGAATGCCTGAATCACCTTACTTGACCAGGTCGTGGGGCGTCACAATCGGGGGCCGCTGACTCCCCCACGCCAGGAAGGTCAAATCCTGAGCCCAATGGCTACGGACTTGAGCCAAAATGGCTACGGCCCTCCCTCCTCCTCCTCCTCCTCCTCCTCCTCCTCCTCCTCATCCTCCTCCTCCTCCTCCTCCTCCTCCTCCTGCGCCGGGGCTCACGCGTGCTCTTCGCCTCTCTGGAGCCGGTAGAGTCGACTGCACGTATAGGAGTGGCCCTTCGCCGGAGTGGTCTCTGGTGCGGGCACAGACGGGTCCCCAGTGGTGGGTTTCTTCTCCGAAGGGCTGAGTCAGGCGACCCGTCCTCCTCCTCCTCTTTCTCCTCCTCCTCCTCCTCCTCCTCCTCCTCCTCCTTCTCGCCCTCCCCTCCTCGGGTCGCCTGCAGCCCCAGGGGAAACCGTGCAGTCCCCAGATGGCTGAATGCGAAGCGGTAGCAGCGGCTTGCGCGCTCAGGTTGGGTCCCCCGCGGCCCCCCCAAAAGCAAAAAACCGCGCACCGAAGGTCACTCTTTCCCAGGGTCACTCTTGCGTGTAGCCGCTGGAAACGGGGATCAATGCAAACGGGGGTCAGCCAGAGCGCCAGATCTTAGAGGATCCTACAGAGCCAGGGGTGCATCGACCAGGGCTTGCGCACAGGACCTTGCGGGATCTTGCAGGATCTTGCAGGATCCAGCAAAGCCTGACTGACCCGGGTTTGGGGCTGACCCGTCTCAGTGTGTTCCCGAGCCTCCCCCTCCTCCCCTCCTCCTCCTCCTCCTCCTCCTCCTCCTCCTCCTCCTCCTCCTCCTCCTCCTCCTCCTCCTCCTCCTCCTCCTCCTCCTCCTCCTCCTCCTCCTCCTCCTCCTCCTCCTCCTCCTCCTCCTCCTCCTCCCCCTCCCCTCCTCCTCCTCCTCCTCCTCCTCCTCCTCCTCCTCCTCCTCCTCCTCCTCCTCCTCCTCCTCCTCCTCCTCCTCCTCCTCCTCCTCCTCCCCCTCCTCCTCCTCCTCCTCCTACTCCTCCTCCTCCTCCTCTCCTCCTCCTCCTCCTCCTCCCCCCCCCGCACATCCTTCTCCCTCCTCTCGGGGCTGCTCCGAGGCGGAAGAGCCATGACGGTTTGGTACGCCGGACGGCTCGAGGCTCGGCGGCGCGCTCAGGGGGGGAGGGAACCCTGCGATTCAGGAGGGAGCAAAACACATTCGAGCAGCCTCCTCCTCCTCCTCCTCCTCCTCCTCCTCCTCCTCCTCCTCCTCCCCGCACATCCTTCTCCCTCCTCTCAGGGCTACTCCGATGCGGAAGAGCCGTGATGAGGTTGTACGCCAGACGGCTCGAGGCTCGGCGGCGCGCTCAGGGGGGGAGGGAACCCTGCGATTCAGGAGGGAGCAAAACACATTCGAGCAGTGGCGAAGCATCCTGGCTCGCCTAGAAGCCCACCGGAGAATGTGCCAAGAACCTGGTGTGGTCTGCACGGAGTGTCTTTGGAGCATGTCTGGCTGGGATCGTCTTGTGTTCACACACCGGGCTTATGCCATAAGAACATTGCTTTTGAGATTCGAACATTTGTGGGTTCTAAGAACAATTCGTGGTAGGCCTATAGGAATGCCGGGACGGTCGGCCCCTGCACAAAACACACACACATACACATAGATTCGTCGATTCCCCGGAAAATATGGGAAAACATGGGAAGTGCAGGGGAAGACGAAGCTCCAGAAAATATGGAAAAGATGGGGGAGTCCTGGGATTTGTGTCTAGCCCAGGGGTGGAGCCTGAGATCCTGGCGTGTCTCATTGTTCTTTCGAGCTGGGCGTTGTTGACTGGTTTCGGGGCCCCGGACCTTCACAGATCCGGCACGAATAATGGTACGAGAAGATGGTCAGCCACGCGCAGAGAGGGGTGGGGGGAGGGGGAGGGCTTCTTAGAAGCACCCCTGCTTCTTAGAAGGCGCGGGCCTTATCTATAGAGGTAAGGCCGGCGCCTTCTACGAAGCAGCCTCCTTCTAAGAAGCCCTCCCCCCTCCCTCCACCCCCTTGTGCGCGCCGCCAAGATGGGGCCCAGGGCTCCGTGCACGATGCTGCAATTTCCTAGCTCCGTCGGGCCTCAGGGCAGGCGCGGGGTGCGGGCCTTCTCGGAAGGCTCCGGAGGCCTCCGGGCCTTCTGAGAGGCCTTCCGAGCCCACCCGTCGGAGCCGCAGGGGCAACTCCTCGGAAGGCGGGCGAGCTTCTTCGAAGCCCCGCCGCCCTCTGAGAGGGCCCGCCTGGGCCGAGGGCCGATGAGGAGGAGGAGGAGGAGGAGGAGGAGGAGGAGGAGGAGGAGGAGGAGGAGGAGGAGGAGGAGGAGGAGGAGGAGGAGGAGGAGGAGGAGGAGGAGGAGGAGGAGGCGGAGGAGGAGGAGGAGGAGGAGGAGGAGGGGGAGAGAGAGAGAGAGAGCGGCATAGGGGGGCAAGGCAGTGCAATCGGCCGCAAGGATGGGCCCCCGCCGTCGCCGCTCAGAGCGGCACCTTCATTGTGATCCCGGCGCCACGCACGCCGATCACCTTGCCGAACGAGGCGTAGTCGAGTCGGCCATCCATATTCTCATACTCATAATCATAGCCCTGCCCACCACTCAGCCAGCTCGTCCTCCGTGACTCCCGCTGGTGGTTTGCCCGTCTTCACCGTAGCTCCCGCTTGGATCTGCGCTCTGTGGGTGCTGTCCTTGATGTTGATCTGCTGCTTCTGCTCCTTTGGAGGATCCTCCTCGACCTCCGCGTCGGTCCAGGGCCCCTGCACGATATACGGTGTGAGCTGCACCTGGTAACTGTCGAAGTACTTGCTGATCTTCAGGTGCTTCACCTTGTTGAGGTCGGTCGCCACGCTGACCTGGTCCACGAACTTCCCATGCTCTGTGAGAATGCTCTTGGTCTTGGCGCCCGCTTCCTCGGGGCAGAGGGTCGAAATAAGCGTGACGAGGAGGTGTCCTTCTGATGGTCCCAGCGATTGTTCCTTGCCCGCCTCCTTGCACTTGTCCTCGTAGGACTTCCTGCAGGCTCGGAGCGCCTTGATCACCTTGGTCGGAGTCGGCATCAGATACGTGCTGTAGTCCTCGGGAACGATCCTGGCGATCTGCGGAGTGTTGGCCAGCACTTGTTTGATCAGCACCGTGCTCAACTTCTTCAGATTGGGGTCGCACTTGGTCGGGTAGGCATCTCCTCCTCGTAGTTGGCGTCGTATGGGAACTTTGCGACACCGATGAGGCCAGCAGCCGTGAGCATGAGGTGGAGGTGACCACGGCTTGGACTTACACTGAAGCTGTCTGTAGAAGCAGCGCCAGAAGGGGGGCAGCATGTGGAGTATGCGCAAGCCGAGGACCTTGGGTTTGCCGTTCTTCTTGTCGAGGGCGAGGCTCTGGCTGTAGTTGGCGTTGAGTGGTGCGAAGCCGACGCGGTACTCGTGGTTGAGGACAGACTCGAAGCTCTCCTGCGCGAGGGGGGCCTCAGCGAGCTCGTCTTCATAGTCCACGCCTGTCGTCTTCGACTTCTGCTTGGTGAAGTTGGTGGGCTGGAAGGTCATCTGGAAGATCTCGGCGGACTGTGACCAGTATGGCACGGAGGCGCGCTTCTTGAGGTACTTGAGCCGCTTGGTGACGCCGTAGAATGCTCGCTTGACGCCGTCCTTGGCGTCCTCGTATTCCTGGCGTGCTTGTAGGTTGTGCTCGGTAGTGAACTCGTGAGTGTTCTCTTTCAAGATGCGCTTCTCCTCCTCGAGGTAGGTCTGGTGAGCTCTGAGCCCTCCGTGCTGACCGTTTGGTGCAATGTAATCTGCCCACTCCTGCAAGCTGGGGCGTGCTCTGGTCGCGCGGCTGTAGTTGCAGTTGCGCTTGCCGTATTTGGTGCCGGCCTTGAGTCGAGACAGTTGAGGTGCTTCAGCGTGTTCTCGTCGTTGACAAGCCTCGTCTATGCGCGCCTCGTCTATGCGCGCCTTCAGCTTGTCCTGGTGCTTGCCGAAGTTGAACTCCAGCGCGTCATTGAACTCCTTGCGATACTTGCCCTTCTGCAGGGCCATGGCCTGCTTGTCGTAGTCCCTGGTGGTCCTCTTTAGGTCTGTGTGCACGTCGAGCATGTTGTGGAAGGCTGCGGCTGCCTCTCCAGGTACTCCTGTAGGGCCTGCGTCTCCGATCACGTTGCTGGGCGTGGCGGGAAGCAATCCGTCCTGGCCGTAGTAGTCGTTCAGGTCTATGCCGATGATCGGCGTGCTCCTGGTGGACGTCTCGTACTGGGTCTTGTTGATCCGCTGGAGCGTCTCGTTGATCGCTTGACCCAGGCGTTGTGGTGCTTGGCAAGGAGGTAGAGACGCGACGACGAACTGCGTGTCGAGTTCTCCTCGACGAAGGCGAACTGCTCCTGCGCGTCCTTGAATGCTCGGCGTCGGGCTGGGGAGCGCGGTCACACACTTGATGCGGTAGCGGTTGCTGATCGTGATGGCCACGCCGGCGTGATTGTTGGTGAAAGGGCCACTGCCATGGTCCCTCTTGAAGATGCGGTGCTGGTAGGTCTGGAGCTGGTGGGGGCGTGCTGCCTCCAACGACTGCCTGGTGACGTCGACTTCGCTGAACTGTCTCGTAATCTCCGTGCTTCTCTGTGGCGCGACCGTGCTGAGCGGGTTATGCACACCCCATCTCAGGAATGTCATCCAGAAGATCGCTAGAGAAGTAATATGGATGACCAGCCGCGCTGGCATGACATGAAGGGTGCCCTGGGGGCAGAAGCTGCTCTGCGTGGGGTGCCTGCTGGGCCGCGAAGAATGGGGCTGGAGCAGGAGACGGCGGCTGAGGAGGAGGGGGAGGAGGAGGAGGAGGCCTGTCACCTCCCCCAACGGACACCCGACGCCCTGCGCTTTGTCACGGCCCGGCTCCCCAGGCGCTTGGGCCCTCTCCCTCGACTGGACGCGAGTGACCTCCTGGTGCGCGCCCAGGTGGGTCACCCCGATCGCTGAGCGCGGAGCGGCAGCAGCGGCCTGCGCGCCTGGATTTGGCCACCCCGCGTCCCCCAAAGGAAGCCGCGCACCGAAGGTCACTCTTGCCCAGGGTCAAAATCAACGCGTAGCCGATTTCCCAGGAGCGGCTTCTCATCATCTTGGGCCGTTTCTTGACGGCCCCGGGGCCCGGCGCGGGCCGCCCAAAACGCCGAAGGGGTTGCCAAGCATTCCCCCGCCGTGGCCTGCGCGGCCACGAGCTCCCCCCCCCCTCGGCGCGCCGCCGGGGGACGCCAGCCTGGGCCTCGGGACCCCCTCGCCCGCCGCAGGCGGCGACGTGCCAGGGTGCCTCGCCGAATGCATGCATTTGCCAGGGTGCCTCGTCGCCTCCGAGCCCGCCGCCCTGCGCCCTTTTCGCCGGCGGGCCACCTCCCCGGAGGATCCTCGGCAGGCGGGCGCCCGGCTGGCCCGCCGGGATCGCCTCCGCCGTGCCCAGTGGGGAAGGGGAGGGGGGGGGCGGCTGCCACCGCCGTCGGAGGAGGTTCGGAGCTCGAGGTCTTCGGGCCTCCTCGTCCCTGCTTCGAGGTTTCCTGGAGGAGGAGGAGGAGGAGGAGGAGGAGGAGGAGGAATCCTCCAGCGGCCGCGAGTCTGTCCCGCGCGCCCCGAGCTCGTTGATCGGGAGCCAGCAGACTCCCCCGCCTCCTCACCCACCTAGCACCGCCCAAACGGATCCGATCTGAAAAAACTGCACCAGATGGACCCCAGGGGGGTCTGGGGGCAAATTCTGAGCGGATTTGGCCTCATACCCCTCCTGCGCGATGTCCCAACCAGTTCAGACCCAACGGCCGCCTCCAAGTGGCAATGCTCGGGCTTCTCAGGTGCCCGAGAGCTTTACACCACCCGCGCCGAAACTGAGGATCAGCCTCTCTCGGTGGAAGCAACCCGCAAAGAAGAGGGGTCAGCGCCAATCCCTATGGAACCCAGCAAAGTCCTGGCTTGTCAAAGTCCCCGTTCACGGGACCCTGAGCTCACCCGGGGGCGGCCCAGAGGGAGGTGATGATTAGGGACTAGGTGAAAATCATGGCGGGGGCCATCATATCTCCCCGGATAGCATGCCCATCATGCCCCATCCCTTCTCTTCACATGTCAATATTCCAGGCCTCCCAGACGGGGTCCGAGTTGACGGGGCCCGAGGATTCCGCCGCATCGCCGATGCATCGGCGATGCGGCTGGCGGTGGATCCCGATTTTCTCGACGCCGACGGCGCCGATGCGCCACCGACGCTGCCGAGGCATCGCCGGTGCATCGGCGGTGCAGCGCGAACCTCCGACCCCATCCGGGAGGCCCTCGTCCGCGCACATGCTGCGGGCCATGCTGCGCCCCCCCCTGCAGGGGGGGAGGAGGGGGAGGAGGAGGAGGAGGAGGAGGAGGAGGAGGAGGAGGATGAGGGTCGGAGGAGGAGAGGAGGAGGAGGAGGAGAGGAGGAGGAGGAGGGTAGTGAGGAGAGGAGGAGGAGGAGGAGGAGGGTGGTGAGGTAGGAGGAGGAGGAGAGGAGGAGGAGATGGAGGAGGGAGGAGGAGGGGGAAGGAGGAGGGGGAGCGAGGGGGAGATGTAGGGGGAGGAGGGGGAGAAGGAGGAGGAGGAGGATGAGGAGGAGGAGGAGGAGGAGGAGGGGAGGAGGAGGAGGAGGAGAGGAGGATGAGGGAAGGAAAGGAGAGTGGGAGGAGGAGGAGGAGAGGAGGAGAGGAGAGAGGAGAGGAGGAGGAGGAGGAGGAGGAGTTATGTAAAAGAATAAGACTGGAGTAGGAAGGAGTGGGAAGGAATGGATGAGTAGTATGAGAGGAGGCTTGGACGCCCCCCGCTTGGACGCCCCGGGCTCAGGGTAGGCCCGGGCCGTGCCGGCGCGGCGGCGGCCGCGGCGCGGGCGGTCGGGGCCCGGGGCTGAAACCCGCCAGTGTCGGGTATGGCCAGGGCCCCGGGTAAGGGGACCCGGTTGGTGGTAGGGCCCCTGAGGCCCTTCAATTTCGGGGGCGGAAAATAGGGGGGGTGATGACTGGGGGGGGGGTGGATATCATGGCCGGGGCCATAATATTTCCCCTGATTTCATGGCGCCCTTTCTTATTGCATCACGTCCCTGGCCCCCCCGCTGGGGCGCGCACGTGCCGCTGGTCATGATTTGCACCCCCCCCTCTTGGACACCCCCCTCTTGGCCGCTCCCGACAGTTGGCCAGATTCACTAAACCAGGTTTGCCGTAACTGGTGTTTTTCGGGTGACGGCAGTTCCGGTTAGTGGAAATGGGGCGGGGGGCGCCCCCCGGTACACATCACTAAACCAGGTTCCACTAAACCCAGTTCTGCCAATGCCCGACAGTGGCCCCGAGTTGGCCGATGTCGAACGGCCTTCGGCGACTGCAAAGGGTGTGGTTTGCGCTGGGGTGTGCTTCGCGATCGGCACCGTTGGGGCCTGGGGAGCACGACGCAGTCCTCGTCGGGCCTCCTCGGGGCGCGGCGGAGAGCTCTGTCGAGGTCACCGCCCGCCCTCCAGGGCGCCACCTAGGGCGCTGGTGCAAACCGCACCCTTTACAAACCACACCCTTCGTCAAGGGCGAAGCGTCCTGGTTCGCCTATAGGCCTTCCAGAGAAAGTTCAGATAACCTTTTTTGGTTTGCACGAAATGTTCTTAGAACAATTCTTGTTGAGACTGTCTTGTTTTAGCACATCGGGTCAATGTTCTAAGAACATTGTTTTTGTTATTAGAATTGGTGTTCTAATAATAACATTTCGGGTAGGACTGTAGGAATGCCAGGACGGTCGGTCCCTGCGCAACTTCGGGGTCGCCGAGGCCAGCGTTGTCAGAAAACCAGGATCGCTCGAGGCTCAAATATTACAGTGGTTGCCCGTGTTGAGTACCTCTGGAGCCCACCCATCGGATCTGTTCGACTCCAGGTCGAGTCTAGTTCAATTCTACTTCGGCTCAAGTTCGACTCAAGCCGATGGACGTTCGACGCAGCATCGGTGCATGAGTGGAGCGGGTTGGGAGGCCAAGATGTTAAGTACGTCTCGCATTGTAATTGCAATCTTGCCAAGTGTTGTTCGATGGTAGAGAGTGTGGCCTGTGCACTGTTCCTTCTTAGGATGCTTCTGCCGACGTTGCTGGGCGTTACTTGGTAGAAAAGGTGGATTCCGCGTGCACGGCTCCCCCCATCCTCCCTCCCCTCCCATCCCTCCCTCCTCCTCCCTCCCTCCCTCCTCCTCCCATCCCCTCCCTCCCTCCCTCCTCCTCCTCCTCCTCCTCCTCCCTCCTCTCCCTCCTCCTCCTCGCCTCCCTCTCCTCGCTCCTTACTCCTCCGCCTCCTCCTCCTTTCCTCCTCCTCCTCCTCCTCCTCCTCCTCCTCCTCCCCCTGCCCCTGAGGCAGGGGAGGAGGGGGAGGAGGAGCAGGACCGCTCTGCCGCATCTCGGCCCCCTGCCTCGCCTGCCGCAGGCTTCGTCAGCTGCGACCAAGCACTCAGAGCTCTGGCGCCGTGATCTGTTCGATCCGGGTGGCCCTCGAGGTGCGCCTCAGTGGAATCCGGCCTCGGGGCCCCAGGAGGTCCAGGTCAAGGTCAGGGTGGAGCCGAGGCGAGAGTCTGGTCCCTGGAGATCGGGACCTCTGGGGTCGCGCATTGGAATCAGAAGGACAACTTTCTGGTTGGGAATGTGGTGTCGGGAGAAATCATCAGGTCATCAATATTACCGCGCATGTTGAAGGCGCTCATTGCACCGTCGCGTGTGCCCCGTATCTTCCCAACCCCTTCCTCCCAACACGGATGCTTGCGTGTCCTAGGGCCACCACTAGGGTGCGAAGTTCGTCGTGCTGCGCGCTTCGCGGCCTCGGCGACTCCAGAGCGAGGCGCGAGTCCTCCATCCTGTTCCCGGGAAGGGGGGGCGGCGCGAAGGCGCGACGGTGAGATGGCGCCTCGCGCTTCGCGCAAAGATGGTTGCCCTGGCCTTGTCATGGGAAGACACCAGCTCGTCGGATGTCCGGGAAGAGCGGGGGGGCCCGGGAAGCCGCTCACCACCCACCAAACCACCCTAACCCAACCCGAAGGCCCCAACTTGCCCTCCACTTCCAATTGGGGGGGAGGTCGGGGAACATGGAAAAAAACACGCGGAACCCGTACCCCCCCCCAATCCGAAATTCGGGTTCTCGGGTTGGGTTGGGGTGGTCTGGCAGGTATCACGCCAGCGCATCCCCAGAGTGATATCCGCGTGATTCCTCGACGCGCACTTCTTATGTTCATTTTTGTCCGAATGACATTTGATACCGCGGCGCGTTGGCCCATGCAGCGCGCGACGCCCGCGTGGACGCTATTGCACCGCAGCGCGCTGCGCTTGCCTGGCCAGGTCAGGCAAGAGCCACGCGCCGCGCCACTCGTACGCGGGCGCGGGGGAAGCGACCGCCCGAGGCTGGGGCGGCCGGCCCGGCCGCCGCAGGCGCCTCCACGGCGGCGCAGGCCGGGAGCCCTGCGACGGGGGGGACCTTCGAGTCCAAGAGGCGACTCCAAGGCGGCGGCTCTGCAGCCTCGGGGTGCCTCCCAGCAGCTGCGTCTCCCCAGAGGATCCGAGGATCTGATTTTTTCAGTCCCGCGGTTTCGCGTGGAGTTCGGCCTCCGAAGCCCATCATCGGGCCCGGGGCCATCAAGAATGGATCCGGGGCGAAAAACCACCCTCAGGGAAGGGGTCAGGACCTTTGGGGCCGCGGATTGGACACAATCCTATCGGCGCATGTCTGGGTCGCCGAGGGGTGTCCGGGAGTGCCCGGACCTTTCAGGAGGTGGCCGCCAGGGGCCCGAAGCAGGTCCCGAAGGCCGGGGACCAGATGGCGGGGCACGATATTCGACCCCCCCCCCTCAGCTGGTCGCGGAGGGGGGCGCGAGGGCCCACCCCTCGTCCAGGAGCCGCCCAGCTTCGCCGCCGAGGGCCCCTCCCGCGCCGACGATGCCAGGTCGACGGCACCCTCCCTGCGCCGCCCCTCTCCTCCTCCTCCTCCTCCTCCTCCTCCTCCTCCTCCTCCTCCTCCTCCTCCTCCTCCTCCTCCTCCTCCTCCTATCCTCCTCCTCCTCCCTCTCCTCCTCCGCCTCCTCCTCCTCCTCCTCCTTCTCATTCTCCTCCTCGTCCTCCTCCTCCTCGTCCTCCACCTCCTCCTACTCGCCTCCTCACCCCCGCCTCCTCCTCCTCTCCTCCTCCTCCTCCTCCTCCTCTCCTCTCCTTCCTCATCCTCCTCCGTCCTCCTCTCCTCCTCCTCCTCCTCCTCTCCTCCTCCTCCTCCCTCCTCCTCTACTCCTCTCCTCCTCCTCCTCCTCCTCCTCCTCCCCCCCCCACACCGCTGCCCCCCGTCCGCGCTCCGTGTGTCTCTCGGCCGTCGCGCCAAGGGAGGGGGGCAGGCAGCCCGCCCCCGCCCCTCCGCTCCGGCGCTGCGGCTCGACCTCGTGGCGCGCGGGCCTCTCCTGGGGCCTCTCGGCCACTGCCTGGCATCGCTCGGACGTGTGCATTTTTTCTCGGCGGGGACCATCGAGCACCATCCTGGACCATCGAGCACAAAAAACACGCACGAAACCAAAAAATGCACAGGAAATGGACGTCCGAGCGACGGCAAGACTGCCCCAGGGCCGGCTCTTCGCCCCGGGTCGTGCGTCGGGGCTCCAGAGAGACGGGGGCCAGGCCTAAGTCGGGCGTGTCCCTCTACGGGGGGGAGATTCAAAGATAGTCCAAAAATAGGATGGGGACGATTTTATTTAGAATTTGTTTTGCCTATTTTGAAATAGTTTTGGCCTGTGTTTATTTGTTCGCTCAAAAATCCGCCTGTAGGGGGACATGCCCGACCTGAGGCCAGGCCAGCCTGAGCGCCGGATCTGGCAGGATCCTGCAGAGCCAGGGGCGCACTGACCCCGGCCAGCCCGACCGACCCAGGTTGGGTCAGTAGATCCCCGATCAAGCTGAGGGAGGGTAGCAGCAGACGCAGTCAGCCAAGGGTCGCAGGCCTAGAGATTGACACCAACACCAATATCGGCGATGTGCCTCCACCGAGGGAAGGAGGTCCCGATCTCGGTGATGGTGGTCATATTCTGGCTTCCAAGGTGACCGAAATGTTACCACCAGCACCGACGTCTAGGATCATCTTCCCCCTGTGGAGGCAACCCCCTGTGCTGGTGCTGGTGCTCATTTCCAAGCCTCTAAGAGGCCATGCGTTCACTCAATGTTTGCCCCTGCTTTTGGCACGTGCTCGCACCCGCTCCCCTCCGCAGCTCTGGCTGGATCGGGCCAGAGCCCGACGAGGGCGACGGTGCCACCTGATTTTGCAGGCATGGCGTTTGAGAAAACTCAAGCGATATCGCAAACATGGACCAAGGGGGCGTGGAATAGCGACGGGTCCCGCTTCCATGTAAAACCGCGGATCTCCGCCGCCGAGCGAGGCGGCGCCGGCCGCATTGTAGGGAGGGCACCTCCCCCGATCCATGGATTTGGCGACCGCGCGCCACATCCATGGATTCGCCAATCCATTTTTGCGCACCCCCGAAACGCCACCCAAAAAAATCGGGACCGCAACCGCGGCGCCGGGCGGGGGCCCAGGCCCTGGCCCGTTATCGGCATGGGCCGGGTGGGGCTAGGACGAGGCCCTCCTCCTCCTCCTCCACGCCTCTCTCCTCTCCTCCTCCTCTCCTTCTTCCTCTCCTCCTCCTACTCCTCCTCCTCCTCCTCCTCTCCTTCCATCTCCTTCCCCTCCCCTCTCTCCTCCTCCTCCTCCTCCTCCTCCTCCTCCTCCTCCTCCTCCTCCTCCTCCTCCTCCTCCTCCTCCTCCTCCCCCGCCTCCTCCTCCCCCGCCTCCCTCCCCCCTCCTGTGTCGGACGTGGCTAGGACGAGGACGTTTGCGTCGGCGCTTGGAGCCCGGCCCGCCTCGGGCTGCCTGCCAGCGGCCGCGCCTCGCAGGGAGAGCGCCCCCGAGTCCCCACCAGCAGAGCCCGGGGGCGCGCCGAGGGGGCTGGAGGTTCTCGGGCGTTTTCGTCTCTCGGGAGGTTTCCGTTCTCGGGGTTTCGTTTCGGCTGGTGGTTTCCTCGGAGGTTTTCGCTCTCGGGAGGTTTCCGTTCTCGGTACGTGCTCGTGCGTTCTCGGTACGTTTTCCTGCGTTCTCGGAGGTTTTCGTCCTCGGGCGCGCGCCGAGGCTCCCGGGCGCTTTCGCACGTTCCCGGGGGCTTCGCTCTGGCTTCGGGCTGCCTCTCAGCGGCTGCGCCTATCCCCGAGGGCTCTCCGGGGCGGATCGTCCCGGAAACGGCCGCCGGGGGCCCGAGTTTTGCTCCGAGGACCACCAGGGGGCCAGGCTTTCTCGGGAGGCGGCGGGGCTTGATTTCAGGAGGGAGAGAAACACACAGACACAATGAATCGTCGATTTCCAAGAAAATATTGGAAAATGTGGGAAGTGGGGGGGGGGGGAGACAGAAACCCGGAAAATCTAGGGAAATATAGGGAATCTGTTTATTTGTGTGTATTTATTTGTGTGTCCCAGGGCCCCTTCATAATTCTCAGAAGCCTTGCGGCCTTCTGAGGAGCTGGAGGCCTCTGTGAGCTTTCTGGGGAGGCCCACTCCCTCTGCACTCGACGAGGTCGGAGAGGGGGCCCTAAAGTTCTCAGTGTCTGTTGGATGTTCTAGTGCATCCGGGGGGAGGGCACCCTCGAATGTCGGGCCGGGCGAAAGGGGGGGATAATTAGGGAAAGGGGGGGGTACGAAATTTGCTGCATGCAGTTGGTTTCGGCTTCACCGAAGGGCCCATTCCTCGGTACATGGTCGCCTCCGGCGCCGGGAGGCGCCGGGAAAATCAGCTACGGGAGCTGATTCTCAACCCCCCCCTTTGCTATCCCCCCCTTTCGCCCGACCTGAGAATGCTCTTCAGTTTGGGCCAGCGGAGGGTCTCATGTTCTTGAAGGGTGCTATGATGTTCCAGGTCCGACTGTACTCGAGGCTTTCAGATGGGGCGGGACCAGATGGGGTCGGAGGATCCCGGGCGGACGGGCATGGGGGAACAGTAAACGTGGGCTTGGCATCGCTCGGCCGTGTGCATTTTTTCTCGGCGAGGGCCATCGAGGAGTCTGTAGGATCACCTCACGAGCAAAACAACGCGCGAAATCGAAAAATGCCC